CACCTAATTTCCCTCTGGGATCAATAAAGTATTTTTGAATTGAATTGAATTATGATTTCTAAGATCTAATAATTTTAGCTTGAGAGCTAACTCTACATATACAGTATGTATGCAGTTTCTCCTACCATTATTCAAGAAAAAAATAACACCAGATCATGTTGGGAGCTATTTCTGCTGTTGCTCTTCCATCTCTCTCATGAAACGCCAAAATAAATAAAAAAAACGGACAAAAATGTGGTTCATATTCTGCGTCACCAACACTGACACACAGTCGTGTGTGTAAGGTTGTTTTTTTGTTTTGTTTTGTTGTTTTTTTGCCCCACTGCCCATTTCCGTAAGGGAAACACTGCTATAGCAAGAAATGGTATAAGCTAATATTGTTAGCTAGCCAACAAATGATATATGGCGTTAGCTTCAGAGCTAATTTACTAAACATCATGTTGGATTGTTTCAACCCATATATTGCGCAGAACATAGAAACTATTAGAAAAACTTTATTGTCACTTTATTGTCTTTTAGCCTCGACTCTGTTTTAGTCTTAGCTGCAACCCATCATCATCATCATCATCATCATCATCAACCCCAGCATGCATTGCATCAATAATAAAATGGCAATGTGCTAAAGTAAAAAATGTAATTTACATATGTATTTTTTAATTACCGTAGATGTTTTAACAACATATTAAGACCAACATGTGACAGTAGTCAGAGGCCTTTAAAACACTGGTATTTAAGTTGTTKGATGACATTCATTCCTTCACAAAAGTTCATTTTCACTGAGTGAATCCTTGCAGCTGCAACAATCAGAGCCAGATTTCTGTCCYACAGTTTTACTTATTAGATATTCACGAAAGACAGCAGCAAAATGAAAGTAGCATTCCTTACAGGAATGCATWTTATCAGCCACCATGCATGTTTCAGTTTTAAACAAAGATGTTGAGTTATATTATTCACACTCTGCGTATGAACACAATTGCTAAGATCGACTGGCTGTCAGCCATCTTCAATCAAGTTRATTCAAAAGGTTAATCAGTTATAGATGTACATCTATGTATTACATTCTGAGTGTTTCATTAAAATCCGTTCAGTAGTTCATGAGATATTTTGCTAAAAGACACAGACACATACATTTACCTGCCTTTAATGCCAGCGTAACTGCACTTTGTACCATGTCATTTATATTATATTCTTTTTAGTGATATTTGATGTATTCTTTAGTAATTGATACCTGCTAAAGGATCAAGGATGAAAAATACGTGTCCTGCTAACTCCAGCTAATTTACATCTGTTTTTATTTCTAATGTTAATTATTTCCCGCTTTCAAATAATTACATTTCTATTCAAATTCAATAATTTTGTTCTAGATAAACCAAATACAGTTTTACTCTTTATTTAGATCAAATTAGACAAGTAGTCAAGCTTCAACTAAACTGATGCTGTTCTCAATCTGAAAAAAAAACTGAGGTATTTATTTTAAACACTTAGATAAAAATGCAAATGTAAAAACAGTCAGTTTACGTATTATAAAAACGTGTGTTTTGAAAAATATGACAAACTGTATAAAAGCATTGTCTTTCATTACACTACATCACATTACATTAGTTTCTTTCCCACAGCGTGAGGCAGTGTGTTGGTGTTTCAGTAAACCAGGACAGAGTTTAATCTGAAGCGACTGGATTCACTTCTCTTGTTTTTAAATACGCTTCTTATCTTCTCTGAAAGACTCCTTCAGTTCTGCTGATGGGATCCAGGTTTAGAAGTCCTTAATGGGATCTTCCTAATGTGGAACTGGAGAACCACTGACGCGCCTGCCCCCMCTGTGAGTGGTTTGGGTGGTGGTCTCCTGTGTTTTGTTTATGTGAGGTGTTGCAGGTAGTTTGAACTGACCTGGAACTGCCTGTAGAGAAGAACCCAGGCTCAGTGTTAGTGAAACCTGAGTCCACCCCCGCCCCTCTGTCTAGTGTTGGTC